ACAAGTACGAAAACATTCCATTTGGTCGGTAAGGTGGTTTGGCAGCGTCGTTCAAGATGGACGACTGTGCCGGTGGGGCAGCCTGGCTGTGCACCAATGTGCCTTTCCGTGGATATTCTTCAGTGGTCGGACTGAGGGCGCGTTTGTCCATGTCAAAGTCTGTGGACGATCACAATCACAGGCATCATGCTAAGATGATGTGACCACCGCTGCCATACGTTAACCTTTTCACCGGTGTTACCCAGACCCGCTTTGTAAGCGATTTTGTGTGTCGTAGCAATTTGGACGAGTTTGCGGCGACGTTTCCAACTTTGCAACGCGTGCAGCTCCTCTGAGTCGTGGAATTCCCCCCCTTACAAGACTCCTTACACCTCACGGTGACCCCAAATGTTCGCTCAAATAAAGTCTCGAAGACACGATGATTGCTTCATTTTTCACTTACTGTGCATTGAACACCCAATTGTCCTGCTTGAGCTGACTAGCTACATAGTTTTGCTGAGGCAGCAACGTTCCATTTCCCGCTTCGCCGCAAATTGACAGCGATATCGTCAGTGATTTCGTTGCGCTCAAGTGGTATATGGTGGTCAATGTCCCTCAACCGTGTTAAAAACTTGTCCCCTAACTTTTCACTGGTTGTGATGCGACAACCATCGCGAAACTCCCGGACTTTACGTCCCCATTCGTTTGCCGCGAGCCAATGTCGCTGGCCAGGTGCCGAACCGGCCTCCGTTCCGGAATTCAATCCTTCCAAAGCGCGGCTTCGTTCTGATGCGGAGAATGATTCCAGCAGTTCGTACTGTCCAATGCAGAAGCGGACACATCCAGGCAACCACGAAAAGGCCCACAGTTCGCTCTGGCCATTTGGCGGGCGGCCGGGTGGCGGCCCGCGGCGTCTGGCACAGCTGGTCACCGGAGCCAGATGTGTGGCGGGTTCCCCCGGCGGCGACACTTGTTTCCACCTCCAAAGAGGCGTTTGTGAATGGCGACATGTCGTTGTAAATGCACCGCTGTGCTTTATTGATGCCCCGTCGGTATGTCTAGCCCATCGTTCTGTGGAATGGCGTGCTCTCATTATTTATTGCTCTAAATCCCCACCTAGTGCTTCGACTTTGAATTGCGTCGCTGCCTGCTCGTGTTCTTGATCGACCGGGCCGGCTTTCTCGGTAGTCTTTTCCGGGCAAACTGAAACACTTATCAAGTCACGAATCGCCAAGCTGTTCGGGGTAGTACCGTGATCAGCAATCCAATAATAACCGCGTGAGGGGGTTGGCTGCGAACTTAGCCATTGCCGCCAGACCGTTTTGACGGATGACTCGTCATGTCTCTTCGTGGCCGTTGGCGGTGCGCGGTCCACAGCCCGGGAGACGGGCCGGCGGGTCCCGACCGGCCTCCGCTGCTGCGAGCCACGCGTCAGTTTCAGCCGGCCAGCGTCCTTATCGACCCGGCGTAATTATAACGAGTCGCAGTTGACCCCCGTACATCCCCGCCGACACAATGCTGTCTTCTCCCCCCCCCCCCGTCCCCACCTGCCACCTCGCCGCCGGGTCGGCCGGCCCGACCACACGGTGCGGAGTCCTACACCAACACCGGCCGAGGGACCCGTCACAGTGCTGGGCCGCCGCAGTGCAGGGGACGTCACAGTTTGGGAGACTGCCCATTTACAGAGGCCCGTCACAGTGCTGCGGTCGGACACAGCGCAGGAGTCCATCAGGGTACATTGGCCGTCACACTGGCGTGGGCTGGCACGGTATCCGGAAATACCGCAATACCGGGGCATTTCAAAAACTGCGACACTTAGGCCACGAGCGCAGCAGCGGCGCAGGCCCAGCCCGCACAGTGGCCTGCCGACACCCAATATCGCCAAGCCATGGGCATCATACGCATACGTTCAAACGGCAACTCACGCCCCAGCTCCTCGACACCAGCTAGTACAACATCGGAAACAAATCTGGATCGTGTCGTTTGGGTTGTTATGCCATTGGGGCTTTATTCGTACTCAGCTGCTGAGGCTATATGCGCCGCCGCCTCCTCTCACTCTGGTAGGAAGGCGGGCAACCACAGAGAATCGAACCCGTACCTCTGGTTTCCAGACGCGCAATGGTCGTTTGAGTTGTTGTATTTTAGCTTTATTGCTAACGGGAACATGAATATATGCATTATTTACATATATATATATATATTATATATATATATATATATATATTTACGTAATGTATATTGTAGCATCTGTATATTGCCCATCTCAATGACCCCTGGTTAGAACGCCTACATTCCGATCCGCCGCCCATGGTGATGTAGGTTCGAGTCGCTTAGGTGGTCGCTATTTGGCCTTGACATATGTGGTCTACGGTCGGTGGCAGCGGCCGCGCTGTGGGTCAGGTGACGTTTGAGGGCACAACGAACCGTGCCGAGCATTGCGGCACGTTAAACTTCCCCACTCAATTCTGCCGTTGACCTGGAATTGCGCGATCGGATGGTGGGGATCAGAGCGCACACTATGAACACTGTTAGCATGAGCACCACTCCCAGAAATCCACCCATTCAAAAAGCTGGAACTGGACCATTAAACTGTGCATAACGTAACTACATAACGAATCTCCGCGGACGTTTGGCTATGCACTTACGTACAGGAGGGAACACGGAATACACATGCGTGCACGCCACAGCGCCGCACTCAACAGAAATGCGTTAGTCATGAACAATACCTGCCAGCACATAGCACAGGCCCTAGACGCCTAACCACACTTAAGCATCATATATCGTACATCAGAAACATGACACCCAACAGTAACACATAAAGCAACTCGCGTAACTACCACTCTACGACCCGGGACTGACAGGCAGCAGCCCCCCCCCCTCCCCCCTCCTCCACCCCGTAACGCAGTCACCAGACCAGTAATGCATAAACTTTTTATGGCGAGAAGCAAAGAGCCTTTCAGCCGCACAGAAATGTGCCTTAAATTGGATCATGCAGTACGCATTTTTTCCCAACACCACAAGCGTGTGTTTCACTAAA